TTCCTGAACGACTCGGCCATTTTAAGGTTATTAATGTCTTATCGACGTCTCTAACCTATCTTTAGGTCATATGGCACCNACTGCTGCATTCTAATATGATGGGAATGTCAAATTCAAATTTGTCCGGATTTAAGTGGCGGACCCTGTATTGTTATTTTTTAATCTTATTACAATGTATTCTTTGCGCTAATTCCTTTATTATTTTCATCAGATGTAACACATTACACTGAAGAAGGTCCAAACTTGTGGATCAAAACGTCTGTTTTTTGAATAAAGAATTCTATTTTATACACGATCATCCTGTATGTACTGCTCGTATCGGCTTTTTTAATTACTTTGATCTTTATCTCCATCTGCCCGAGACCAAAACCCACGAGTCTAACTGAGCTTCGAGGATCTTGGCTCAGGCTTTAGCTTCGCCGCAGCCTTTGTCTTTACTGAACAAGCTGTCAACAGTCGCAGGTCGCTCCACTTTCAGAAAATCCTCACTCCTCAAACGCGGAAGTCGAACTGGAAGACGCACAATCGATCCCTAAAAAGGCCTAGAGGCCATATTTCTTTCCAGAAACAGGAACGTCAGCCGGTCCCTGAAGAGGGAAAACTCCCTCCCCAGGGTCAAAGCGCTTTTCTACCGCCTGCTCCACGCGCTTGATGAGATACCGCGCGCGAATTTCCTTTGGAGACTCAGAAAGAACCTTAGGGTCTCCAGCCTGCACGGCCGAGTTTGCCGTTCCACAAAGCGGAAGAGAGACGGCCCCCGAGGCCACCGAGGCTTGCTCAACCGTCTCCTCCATTTCTTTTATTTTGTCCGCAAGCTCGTCGCGGTCCTCATCCATAGAACAAAAATCAGCCTTTATTTAGTCGAGCTTTTTTTAAAGCTTGGACTTGTCTTTTGTCAAGCGGAAGACGCAGACCTGGAGAACTTGCACCTCTTCTCTTAACCGGAAGTCTACCAACTTCCGCTGGTCAATATCGGGGTGAGAGAGGGCCCCGGCATACAGGCCACGGACTACTCTTTGTAACGTCGCCGCAGACACCTTTAACACCTTTACATAGGTTCCTTTGAGGCGGGAGAACGTCGTGGCCATTCGGAGCACTATCCATCGCTTCAATGAACTTCACCGAAAAGTCCGCCAGAGAAGCGTCCTCCGCCATCGGACCCGCGTGAAGAAAGCCCGCGGACTCGTCGAAGAGCGCTTCCTCAGATCTTGTTCTCCGTCTTTCTGACAGCTGCTGCTTCTTTTTCGGAAACAGTCATGCGCGAGCGGTCTTCTCTTGCTGCCCTGTGTTTCCCTTAGAAAGAAAGAAGGTAAAATATAATCTTCGTCGTTACTCTTTGCCATGGCGGACGAAACGTCCGATACAGACGCAGACGTGAGACGTCACCGCACTTGAGGGCACGACTACGAACTCTCCTTGGTGCCACTGATAGACGGAACGGCTATAAGGTTGATCCGTTCCAGTGGCACCGTGGCCTGTCGCTCGCTAAGAGACGCGACTGGATCCGTGGGCCAAGCCACCTTCGCACTAACATGTTCTCCTACCGCGGTGCAGGCGGCAGGTAGCCCGTTGTACGATGACGACATGGTGGCACCCAAGATTGTAGTACTCCCACACCGGGACCTGGGGATCTTAGTTTCCTGGTCCGGTAAATCCTTACTCCTTTTTGGACTCATAGTTTCAAAGAGGTAGTTTTTTCAGGGTTTCTTTCTCCTAGGCCGGTTGCCCGAGGACCCACTCTTGGTCTGGAGGCTCATGGAAGACGATTCTCGCAAAGAAGACCCTGCTAACCAAAGTTCCCGCTGACACAGCTCTTCCATTTATAAGGGAACCTCGTGAACCCGAAAATTCTGATTTTGATACAACTTTGTCCACATGTAAGGGAGGTCAATAGATGAATATTACCATATTCAGGTATTACTCGGTTTAAAAACGGTTTTAAAAAGTGAAATCACCCCTTATACAATATTTAAAGCGGCTTTTTACTGTTTTCAGTTTATCTCGAAAATTATTGGAAATGTTGAAAAATGTTTTGCACAAAACTTTCATAGAAAACTATTTTCTATTTAGCCATATTAACAGAATTACAAACCAATAAATTTTTTAAAAACTTGTTTACAACAGTTATAAAAACAAATTTCTTACACGCTTCTATTAATGTAGGTAAACAGAGACATTTATACCATAAACTTTTTGTATAAAATATTTTTTGATATCTCTAATAGTTCTTACAATACATCAAGAAAAGCGCAAAACCACTTTACACATGAGGAGTGTTTCACTCTTTAGAATCGGTTTTTGGCTTAACTGAAAATTTTTACAATCATGTAGTTATCTATATATGTGTACAAAGTTTTATCGTAAAAACATCTTTATGTAATCGCATAGTAATACAATTTTGAAATAAGTTTTTTCCAAAATTTAAGTTTAGCATTTTTATATAAGAAATTATCTTGCGTTATATACTACAATAAAGATAGTAATTTTTTGAATAACGATGCTGTTATTTTCTGAATATTTCTATGTTGTACTGCAACTTAACTTGAGAGATTATTGAGCATATTGCAGTTTTTATGTCGCATATTGTATATGTAATGTATCACGCAGGTATCACTCACGTAATCACAGCGTAAAGTAGTTATGTACGTTATACGTGAGAATATTTTGCTATAATTTTCCATAATTAAAGGACTTTGACAGAATAAAAATTGTAAGAAATTTTACACGTTGAGTGCCATATTCGAATTTTACTTTCGTCGCCTTATTAGCCAACACATAAACTTTCAGTATAACATCTTAAAACCTCATTTTATGGTTTACTATTATATTATTTGATTACAGTGTACGATTTACATATACATTGTGACACACCGACGTATCACGTAATAAAACTACATTCAAACCTCGATAATAAAACTACATTCAAACAATAATAAAACTACATTCAAACCTCGATAACTCGAACCTCTATAACTCGAAAACCTCTATAGAACGAAAATTTTGTGCATTTCCATGCGTTCCATGGAAAGGAAAACCGAACTTCGATAAGTCGAAACCTCTACAAATCGACGATTTTAGCTCTTCCCTTAAGATGCGAGTTATTGAGATTTGACTGTATTAGACTATGATTTGGAAGCCTACAATAATAATATATCCCACAATAATATAGCCCACAATCTATAATACGTTTAAATATAACATAACTTTTTTTACATTTGTATGTCCTTGTTTCTATGGTTGATATCACTTGTATCGATAACAGTATAGTCACGATATGTATAGTACGCTCCAGGACTCTCCTTAAACCGTTTTTGGGCAGCAAATGAATATGCCAATATTCATCTATTGACCTCCCTTACATGTGTGCAAAGTTTTATCAAAATCAGAATTTTCGGGTTCGCGAGGTTCTCTTGTTAGTGCCCCACACAAGGCTGGTCAAGGGCCTTACCATGTCAAGATGGTGGATTCGAACTCTGTCGGGAACCTAATCTAACCTAGCTCAAGTCCAATCTAATTTCTAAATAGCAATAATTTCGTTTTTTGCTAAGAAATCGGTTTTTGTTAATAACGTTTTACAAACAGTGATCTAAAACCTTTTAAACGTCACTCAAGGCTTTGATCTTGATATATCAAGATTTATGTATTTTTTCTGAAGTTCTTACGTATTGTTCTTTTTGATACTCTTGCAATTAGTAATAACACACGAGCGTCGATATTATCAATAATCATATTATCAATTGCGCAAGTATATACCGGATTGCGAGCTGCTGGCAAAGACCGGAGAAGAATGACGCGTCGTGGTAGAAAGAAGTGGTCAGAAGAAAACTATTTTTTCTGACGCAAAACGATATGGTGCACTTTATAAATTTAGCTCAAAGGTGTTTTCAATTATTTCAGGTTCTACACCAAGGTTTTCGTTTTTTTTTTCTTTTTTTGTCTTCTGTCTTTTGTATATTTCTCTTTCTCTCTTTTAAGTTTCTAAAATGGCCTTTTTTACGTAACTTTTACACGGTCATATAGAGAATAATCTGTTAATTGTTACACTGTAACAAAAATACTTTAATAAAATAAGACGCATTATATGTAATGTTTTTTACATAACTAACAAGTTCGAAGCAATAATTAAAATAAATCATTATAATAAAAAATTAATCATAATAATAAAAAAAAAAATCATATGTATGATTTTAACGCATTTAAAAAAATTCTATTAGTTTGTATCGTAAACAATTTAAACTAATTCGGTGGATTGCAGGCTGAAGATCCGGACATAGGAATAAATAGTGAGATACGCTATCAAATACTTCACAAGGAAGATGCCTCACGTTTTGCAATTGATCCACTTAACGGTCAAGTACGATCTGTAGCAAGTTTTGGCCGCGACGCTGGCTGCGTCTTCGGTTTCGACGTCAAAGCCACTGACAAACAAGGTGCCGAAACCGGACGTAGCAGTATTGCCAACGTTTTTGTAAGTCTATTTCACTTTTGCACTCCTATTTATATAGTGTATTTTCATCACTTTTCTTTGAGATAGCGTTCAAGCTATCTCAAGCTATTCTTTTTGCAAAATTGGAATGTTTCAAAACATATCTAACTTTTGAATTTGTAGGTATATGTAATAGATGATCAAAAGCAAGTTGTCATGATCATGGGACGAAAACCTGTCGAGATCGAGCCAGAACTCGAAAATATCACAATGTAAGTTCTACATTGCATTATCACAACAAGTATGGCAAATTTACAAATTGTTTTTTAGCGTGTTGCAAAATGTCACTGGCTTAGATGTGCGAGTGAGAAAGCTGGAGCCTCATATTGAAAAGAATCTAATTGATACTTTGTAAGTGACTTTTAGATAACGTGTTTTCTTGTTTAGTTACCAATTGCTCATTAAATTTTGATTTTTTACTTTTTAGCACGGACATTTATCTGTATGCAATTGATCTACATCTAAATATTATAATAGACATGGATATTTTGTACAGGTAACAAATCG